TGATGGTCGGCGGAGAAGTTTGGGCTGGGGTTTTGTGCGTGAGAAAGTTTGGGGGGCTGATGGTGTATGCGGTGCAAGAGGAAGGGTGGAGGCTTTGGTCTCTGTCTCCAAAAATAAAACCCTAATCTTCTTTTTATAGGCTTTCCTCAAACTCTATTTCTTCAGGAATGAGAAAGTTTTTTTTTCAAGCCAATTTAAATTAAAACTCCTCCAACTCTTCAAGTGCTTCAATTTCTTCCTTTGAGTTGCTTTTATCTTCATTTTAGCCCAAAATTTCAACAATTCCTCCATTTAAGTACAAAACCTACAATTAACGATAAAATCATATAAATAGCATATTTGTACTCAAAACAGTAGCAAAAATCACAAATTAGGGATATAATAAATAGGTAAAATATAAGCATATCACAACCAGAAGTGGAAAAAGAATGGTACCAACCCCCAACTCCCTAAGGCTGAGGCCGAAGCTACCGAGAAAGCCGAGGATGAAGCTCAAGCGCAGAAGATCTTGGTCGCTCCTGTAGGTGCTATCTTTGGGGCTTGTCTAGCCATTCAAAGTATGACGGCCCTCAAAAAAGATGCACGACCAAGACCTCCTGGGGAAAGCGAAGGTTGTAGGCTGTCTTCGACCGATAAAATTACCTTCTGCGACCAAGACGTCGTTCTTAATGAGATTGGGGGGTCAGATGCATTGGTAATTGAGGCAATTGTAGCTAACCAAGAAGTACGGCGAGTGTATATGGATAATGGGAGCTCCGTGGACATCATGTACTACGACTGCTTTTAGAAGTTGGGTCTCGACCAAACCATGCTCCGACCAGCTCCCACACCACTGGTTCCGATCATGTGATTATGCCTTTAGGTGTGATTACTCTTGTTGTGACTATAGGCACGCAACCGCGGGCGAAAACTGTGATGTGTGACTTTGCGGTGGTGGATGTGGTCACACCGTTCAATATCATCCTTAGACGACCATAGATGTGCAAGAGTTAGGCTGTTTACTCTCCTTACCATTTGGTGATGAAATTCCCGACTCCGTCCAGAGTAGCTGAGGTTCGAGGAAACCCGTAGCTTGCCAAGCGATGTATGGTCATCGCCATGAAGAAAGGAAGGGAGCTACTGCTAAAAGGTTCGGAGGTGAACATGGTCCAAGGGTCGACTTCTCGCTTGCCTAGAGGTCAGGCTGAGGAGGATCCTGTAGAGGGTGAAATTCTCCTTGATGTGGAGTATGATGTGGTCCCCATCAGTTAGGACGGGTACTACCGCCCAGCCTCCGTGAAATGGTGATCCACCTGTTACGGGGAGTATCAGGATGTCTTTGCTTGGGAGCCATCGATCATGACCGGAATCCCTACTAAGCTAGGCATTCATCGCCTTAATGTGGACCCTGGTGGTCGTCCAATTCAACAGAGAAAGAGAAAGATGGCCCCCGAAAGAAGTGCAGCTGTTGATGTCGAGGTCGCTAAGCTATTAGCCACCTCCATAGTCCGGGAGATTCTCCACCCAACTTGGCTGGCTAATCCAGTGATGATCAAGAAGCCCGACCGACCTATCATGGAGGATGTGTATGGATTTTCACCGACTTGAACAAACATTGTCCAAAAGATTGATGCTATAGCTAGGTACCCTGTTCTGTGTTTTCTCGACGCATACAAAAGATACAACCAAATCTTGATGGCCAAGGAGTATGCAGAAAGACAGTGTTCATTACCGATCGTGGCATATATTGCTACGAGAAGATGCCCTTCGGTCTGAAGAATGCCGGGTCTACTTACCAAAGGATGGCAAACAACGTGTTTCGGACGTAGATGGGGCGAAACATGGAAATCTATGTTGATGACATGGTAGTTAAGAGCGCCCGGTTGGCAAATGTGGTCAAAAACCTCAAGGAAACCTTCGAAACTTTACGCCGGGTCAACATGAAGTTGAACCCGAAGAAATGCATTTTCTGCGTAGGATCGAAAAAGTTCCTAGGGGTGATGGTTTCTCAACGAGGAATCGACGTGGATCCCAGTCAGGCGAAGATCGTCCCGACATGAGAGAACCGAGGTATATGAAAGAAGTCCAGAAGTTGACCGAATGCATAGCAACCTTGGGACGTTTCCTCTCCAAAGCCGCGGAGAAGGGTCTCCCTTTTTTTAAAGTGTTGCAAAAATCCAAGTGTTTCGAGTGGGACGACGAATGCCTATTGGCCTTCTCTCAGCTGAATGAGCACTTAAAGTCTCTCCCTACCCATAAAACTCCCGAGTCGGGGGAGGTCTTGTCTCTATACTTGGCTGTGGAGGAGACCACCTTGAGCGCAGTTCTCGTCCGCGATTAAAAAGGTAAGCAGTCAATGGTCTACTTTGTCAGCAAGGCTTTGCATGGACCAAAACTAGATACACCTTGGTTGAAAAAGTGGTCTACCGCCTGGTGGTCGCGGCCCGAAAACTTAGGCCATACTTCCAAGCCCACACTATCCGGGTCCAAACGGATCAGCCGATACAACAGGTACTAAGGAAGCCGGGGATCTCCAGAAGGATGACGAAATAGGCAATCAAATTGGGTGAGCATGACCTCAAGTATGAGCCGAGGACCGCCATTAAAGCACAAGCCCTAGCCGAATTTTTGGTAGAAGTCCCCAGAGAAAAGACCCCTGTAGACAAAGCCGCAGAATTCCTGGCAGGTGTCTGGCAGCTTTACGTTGACGGGTCATCAGCTGGCTCCGGTTTGGGGGGTGGTCTCATCCTAGTCGACCCTAACGGATCGGAGATCAATTACGCCCTTCGGTTGGAGTTCTACACCACCAACAACGAGGCCGAGTACAAGGCTCTCATAGCCGGACTTAAGCTGGCACTTGAGATGAAGGCCTCCTCAGTTTCTATTTACCGTGACTCCCTGGTCGTTGTTAACCATGTGCTGAAGCTATACGAAGTTCGCGAGGTGTCACTGCAAAAGTACCTTGATGAAGTTCGGAGGTTGGTGGGTCAGTTCGTCCAATTCAAGATTCAGTATGTGCGCGATCGCAGAATAAAAAAGCTGACGCACTCAGTAAACTTGCCTACTCTGCTTTCGCCCACCTTACCCAGTGAGTCCTTGTTGAGACTCTTCCACAGTTAGGACTTCTTTGACCTCGACCTAGCGTCGAGGTCAAAGAAGTCCTAACTGTGGAAGAGGAGGAGGCTGAATGTTGGATGACCCCCTTTATTTATTACTTGAAGGACGGAACATTGCCGAAAGACCCTAAAGAAGCAAGGAAAGTACGTCTTAAAGTGCCAAAGTATGTGCTCAAAGATGGCATCCTATATAAGCACGCCTACCTGTCACCTACGTACCGCCGTGTATCCCCGACAGAGGTGGAACTGTTGATTAGAAGAATGCATGAAGGGGCTTGCGGAGCACATTTGATAGCAAGAAACTTGTCAAAAAGGCTATTGAGGACAGGTTACTACTGGCCGACCATGGCTCAAGACTGTTATGAACTCGTCTTAAAGTGTCCTCAGTGTCAGAAGCACTCCCCCATTCCTCGACTGCCTCAGCATGAAATGGTCCCCATTGATAGTCCCTGGCCATTTTATAAATGGGGGATCAGCATCCTCGGACCCTTCACTATGGCCCCTGGGAAGGTTTGCCACCTTGTCATTACAATCGACTACTTTTTTAAGTGGGTCGAAGCCAAACCCTTAGCATCGACTTCAGGGGAAGCAGTGACCCAATTCTTCTGGAAATACATTGTTTAATGGTTTGGAATCCTGAAGGTGCTTATTTCTGACAACGGGACCCAATTTGAGTCCGGAACCTTTTGACAATGGTGCGAGGAGATGAACATCAAGCGGAGGTTCATGGCTGTAGGTCACCCTCATGCCAATGGACTGGCAGAGAACATCAACTAGGACATACTAAGAGGTATCAAGAAGCACCTAGAAAAGGCCGGAGGTGAATGGGTTGACGAAGTGCCCCGTGTCCTGTGGGCTATTTGAACTACCATGCGCACCGCGACCGAGGCTACCCCTTTCTCCTTGGTTTACGGAATAGAAGCAGTTATACCTACTGAGATTGAAGTGCCCAGTCCACGTACGATGAGCTTCGTCGAAGAGGAGAACGATGACCTGTCACGGCTCTGCTTGGACTTCTTGGACGAAAAGAGGGATTGTGCCAAGGCCCGAGAAGCTCACTATGAGCAGTAGCAAATGAAGTATTATAATGTGCGAGTTCAGCGTCGGGACCTTGCTGTTGACGACCTTGTCCTGTGAAGGAACGATGTAAGCCATGCATTGCCTGCGGGAAAACTCTCTCCAAATTGGGAAGGACCGTATAAGGTCGTAGAAGTTTCTCTCTCGGGAAGATACAGGTTGCAGACGTGTCATGATGACCCTGTTCTCCTACCCCAATAGTAGAACATCCAAAACCTTAAGAAGTTTCACGTGTAACCCTTGTTCGACGGCACACTCTTTTGTATTAGTTAACTTTTTGAATTCGAAGCGTAGGGAAGGCTCCACCACTTGTACTCTTGACAGTATGACTTGGTCGATAATATAATCCACCCTTCCCAAAAAATTTGTTGAAAGCAGAGGCAACAAGTCGGACGACCCCGCGAGTGGTCGACGACCGGCGACCGGCCACAGGCCGGCACCTTCGGCCAAAAGGACTGTCTTGGATTCAACAAGTTGGATGACACCGCGAATGGTCGATGACCGATGACCGGCCACAAGCCGGCGCCTTCATCCAAAAAGACTGTCTTGGACTCAACAAGTCGTATGACCCCGCGAGTGGTCGACAACCGGTGACCAGCCACAGGCCAGTGCCTTCGTCCAAAAAGACTTTGCCTAGGACTTCACGAGTCGAACGACCCGAAGAGCGATCAACGACCGGCGCTTTCGGCCTTAGGGATGAATTGACACAGCGTCATGAGTTAAATACATTCGAACTCTATCTACACCAATGGAGCGACGATATAGCACTCGAGAGAAAGAGCGTGGGCGGGTAATAAAATCGTACACACCCCTCACAAATATACTGTCCTACATCACCGTCCTAAGTTGGCGAAGATTGGCGACCTCGGTTCCTAAGTCGAAAATGATCTTTTTAGCCGCCTCCAATTCCGTCTCATGGATTGCATGAATGGTATTGCAAAGATCAGCTTCCAGAGTCGACAATTGTTCTCTTTTCTTTTGAAAAGATGGGTCGACTAAGACCTTCCCTATGGCCGAATAATATGGATAGTTATCTGGGTCGAACTGGGGCTCGGGAAGTGCGATATGGATGTAACGAATACTTGCACCAAGTTACTTACCGGAAGTGGATAGAACATCGGTAGGGGTCGAACCGGTAGATACTCCGACATCGACCTCAGGTGTTGGGTATCCCTACAGCCACAAAGGTCGATGTCAGACCCTTAGAGCATTTTTAAATAAATAGATGAAAAAAGTCGACCAATGGAATAAGAAGAAAATTTTATTCATTACAAGTCGAAGCCCAAAAAGAACTCCGACTGGGAAACCTACAACATACTATTCCACCAAGCCTAAACACTACTCAGTGTTCACCTCGAAATCTTCAAAGCCACCCGGGGAGGACTCGGTCGTATTGGTTCCTGAAGTCGTCATCCCATTTGCGTCCATTGACGGCGGATGACCATCCAAGGAATCTCGACGCCCCCGCTCGACTGCAACATCATCGGGACTCGGAGGAATCTCAGCAGGGGATCCTACATTGGCAGGCATGTTGTAAATGAAGGACGGCCCAACAGAAGTGTTCAAGAGGTCGACGGGAGAGAATATGTTTGGCAAAACCTTCTCCATCTCTTTGAAGAAGTCGTGGACGCTTAGGTCCGCATCCCGGAAATGCTTCCTAGTCATAAACCAAAGCCGAACGTCTGTCGTCGTCCCTCCTGAGAGCCTATCAGCATACTTTGCCAAGATGGGATTGATATCCTTCTTGTCCTTCAGAGCATCTTCGACCTCGGGGGCTAGCTCCATCATACCTATCTCATTAGGGGGGACTATTACTTGGTTAATCCCATCAGCGAAGGAGCTCGACTGTAGATAAATGCGGAACGCTGCCAGAATATACTTCCCCAGTCAAGTCTTGGGGATGCAAGCTTTCTTCATCTTTCTTATTGCCTCCTCATGGGCCTTCGTCCTCTCCGTCAAAGCATCAGTCGCGGTAGTCGATTGATCCTTCCACTACTGAGCATCCTGCCTTGCCTGCTCTAACTCCGCCTTGACCCCCTTGAGTTTGTCTGTCAGTCGGGCCACTGTATTCTCGTACGTCATCACCAGGTCGTCATAATTATGGATAAGTTGGCCGAAGGACGCCACCGATTGCACAGCCTAAAACATTGTAAGACTCAGTCGACTACGACAAAAATGTGTGAAATAGGTTATCAAAAGACGTACCTGTCTCATGCAATCCTCGACTCTTGGAGCCGCCTCCACCTTGATATCTAGACTGGAGACTCTGGGGGGCTTGAACTTCACGAAAGCCGTGCACGGCGAAAGATCCTTCAATTTTGCGGGACGAGAACGAGTGTTCTTATCCGTGTAAGTCTCCTTTAAGAGGTCATCTGGAGTAAGACCTCACTCCCCAGGAGCAATCGCAGAGATAGGAGTCACGGTCGAATTAAACCTGACTCGTTTCAAGGCATCCTCCAGAAGAGGAGGAAAAGGTCTCTTCTCCTTGGGTGCTGACATCGCCGGGGGCTGTTGACTTAAAGGTTGAGGATTCTTTGGGGCCTCAGAGGGGGTGGCCTTTGCTCCCTCAACTGCGAGAGGAGCTTTCTGAGACGAGGATGCATCTCGAGACTCTGTAGGGTTACCAAAAACGGTTCTACTTCCCATCAGTTACAAATTACCTATAAAAGAAGGAACATTTGAATATTAGTACTACTAGTCGAAGAATATACCTCACTGGAAATTAGTGATTGCGTCACTCATCGAAGCTATGTCGAGGTAAGTGTACGACTCTGTCCACGACACCAACTTGTCGATGTCTGGTTGCCTGTCGATCATATCTGCCTTGTCAGCATCGGACCAGGGGTCTAAAACCCTCTCGCTTTCAGCCCATAATTCCAAGAAAGAAGGACAACAAGTGGAGAGTCGACTTAGAAATATTCAGCCTTCCACGTCTTATACTCATTTTTCCACGGCTTGGACGCTTAGCTTCGTGAGGCCAACTCCTTCTTCAGGCCCTTCTGATTTTTTGTGAAGCTTAACCAACTGGAAAATTTCTTAGGTCCGCGGACCAATTTGTGAAAGCATCGAAAGAGAAAGACGTCAGGACGACGTCCACTTTGTGGCATACATGAATTAAAGCCAGAACCGAAGTAATGAAATTCGGTGTAAGCTGTGCTAAAGGTAGCCCGTAGGCGTCTAAAATTTGTTGAATCAAAGGGAAGACAGGAAGATGAAGGTCGTACTCAAAATACTTGGCATAGACAGTTATCTTCCCGATCGGGGGCGTGCTCGCACGCTGTCGACCTTCAGGAAGGGATGGATGGTATTCGGTCAAACTGTATATCTCCTCCAACTGTTCTAGGTCCTTCTTTTTGAGAAGGATGCACACGTCCCTGACCCTTGTAACATCCTTATCCCCCATATTCCAAGATGTAGATAAAAGAAGAGATGAAAAGAGTAAAAAGGGAAACTTACTGAAGACTCTTCCTCGAATTAAACTCGAAAAGCAACCTCGAACACCAGGCCATCCACAAAAATCGTCGGAGTAAGTTGCCGGAAAAATGATTTCAAGGGAAGCAAGGAGAGCAAAAGTAGGAGCAGAAAGAGTAACCTTTCAAATGAGCCTGCTGGTTCCTTTTTATAGCTTTAGCCAAAGTAGGTGAACAGTTGCCTCGGTTCCTATGACGCCATCATTATGTCGGTTGAGGTTTCGAAGTCATCCGAGCCATTCTTTTGATCGGAGCCGTCCATTATTTCCCCCCGAGGAAATTCAAAAAGGTGCTTAACCAAAATCATCAATGCGGTTGGGCCTCACAAATGGGCTTTCTGAATAAAATATCAGCCCAAAACTATATAGCCCTTTTGGGCTTGACAGGAGCTCTTGATGGTGCCCATTCCTGATTAAGGCCCAATGAGAAGGTCTAATAGCCCAGATCAGTCTTAGACCTCCACATGGGTCCCTCTTTTGGACACACTCTAAATAGTGTCCTCTATATATCCTAAAATATTTATTTCAAAGGGTTAATTCACACTCCTTACTCTCTCTCTAAGTGTGTGTTTTTATTATTTTCTCTCACTATATTGACTTTGGCATCGGAGTGCTAACCCTTGTCTTACAGGTCTCCGTCCTAGACGACCGTTGACTCGCTGCCATCGGGATTTGCCTTTGTCACCGGTAATTTTCCAAGTCGCCTGGAAGAAATCGCTCCCATTCCCATCCGGTCCAGGGCTCTTGTTGTTGTTGATACTCCACAGAGTTTTTTTTATTTCCTTTTTGGTGACTAGTTCCATTAATTGCATCTGCTTCTTCAAATCTAGCCTTGGGCCACCTTTGAATACTCTTGTCTTACTTGCTTCCTGGTAGTTTTCTGTCTCAGTTGAGCTTGAAAAAATTGTAAGAAATGGTCCACAATATTTTTCCATTCCCTTACAATCTGCCCACTCTCATTCACTATTGACCATCATGGTTTTCGTACTTTTCTGCTTCAGCTTTGAGTGGAAGAATTTGCTGTTAATGTCCCCTTCTCTAAGCCAATCTTCCTTGATATTTTGCCTCATGAAGCTGTCAATTGCTACATATTTGCTTATATACTCCTTGTATGCTTCTCTTTCTTCTTTCTGAATCTCCTTATCATCCAGAGTCCTGGTCTATTGTTGTTGTTTTTGCTCCAATATATTATGTACTTGCTGCAATTAGATCTGAATATTTGAGAAGTTCTTCTTGTTCAACTCTTTTAGCCCCTTCTTCAGTCTCTTCATCTTCTTCACCACCTGAAACATCTTGGTTCTCCTTACTCTAATCCCCCAACTTTTGCTCACTATTACTAGGAACTGCGGATCCAGCTTCTACATATGGAAGTATTTGAAAGGTTTGGATGAACTATACATCTCCATTTTCCTCTGTACCATCAGTGGGGGTGTGGTCTGATATTCCTTCCTGAAGCACAGTGTTAAGGGAGTGGTTATATTGGTCAACCCATTCTCCATTACCAGTACTCTGTCTAGTTTGGCATAAATTCTTGCATTTGTCATCTGTTGGTTGCACCAAGTACACACAGAACCCTGCTGTCTAAGGTCCTGTAAACCACATTCCTCTAAACAGAATTGGAATGGTTCAAACTCACTAAGTGTCACAGTGTTTCTTACCATCTTCTCCTCTTGCTTTAGCACATTGTTGAAATCTCCACAGACCAACGATGCATGATCTGCTGTCTTACAAATATCCACTGTATGATATGGACATCCACTCTATCATCCCACAAAACCACAAATCTCCCTTTAGTTGCCTGGCCTTCATTAATTATCTTGTATTTCCATTGTTAAAACATACTCTTCATAATTCCCTTCACTTTGTCATAGTTCATCTTGATCTCCATAATGCATGCTATATTAATCTTATTTGCAGCTAGGACCCATTCCTTCTGCTTTATAGGAGCATTAAGGCCCCTAATATTCCATGAGATGATCTTACTCATTGATACCCAGGTCTGATTCTGGTTCAATGCTCTTTTTAAGCTTATCAATGTCACTACTTTCTCCTTCAAACTCAAAGGCTTTATATATCTTCTTCTGATGATCTTCGCAGGATTAAAAATCTGATGGGACTGATGCCTGACTCATCCTTGCCTTTGTCTAGCCTATTAGTGACATCCTCTACTTTAGACTCGCCCCCCTTCCCACTCTTTTTGCTTCTTTCCACTTTTATCCACTCTTTCTCTTCATTACCCTTCTTGGCAGTTGGTGGCTTTATTGCAACAGTGGCTGGTTGTTTTTGTTTTATGCAAATCTTCGTTTCATGCCCATACCCATCACAACATTCACACTTCACTAGTTTCGATTCATAGTGAACCTCCTGACTTTGCACTATCTCTCTTTCATCTTCAAAGATAACTTTTTCTGGCAATTCTGTCTTGATTTCCATTTCCACCAGCAATCTAGCATTGTTAACTCTGTTTTGACTTTTCGTAAGCACATCTGTCATGATAGGCGTTCCTAAGGTACTTCCAATACTACTTAGGGAAGCTGGATTCCAATGTTTCAGTTCCAGATTAGGAAGCTGACTCCACACAGGTACATTACTCACTTAAACTTAATATCATCATCTAGATTTAACAAAACAGGGTAACCTTTGCCAAAATTAAATATTCAATTTCAATGTTTTTTCTCTAGCATGCATAGATTTGAGACCAGAGGGTAAGAGTATCACCTTATCAACACCAAGGTGTCCTCAAATCTGCCTGTAATATGTATTCATGACTTTGTACGGCGGGTGAGCACCCAGGACGTAGCTAACCACCGATGGCTCCCAGCATTCTGCTTCCTCATCGACTTTCTTGGGTTGTATCTTGGCAACCGATACACCATTGACCACTTGAGGAGAGAGCAAAGACAGTTTGGCTCCTGAGTTCTTTATCCTGTTTACATCAAATTTGTCACAGATAGTTCCCTTTTTCTCTTCTTCAATTGTTGCATCCCATGTTAATTTTCTCTTTCCAGAATCATCTAAATTTCGCAGAGTCTGATTATTCATCCCTCTTTGGTCTCCTTGTGATGATTTCCCCGGATCCCCAATTTCTTTAGGGTTAGCACTGCTTGACTTCTTGCTTGTTGATTCACATATTTCCTCAAAGTTTAATTCTTCTTTTGCCTTCTTACTTTGTTCGCCATTGTTTATTGGTGATTTTGCTTCATTTGGGTCAGCTTTCTTCACCGGTTTCCTCCCTTTTGCCATGGCGTGGCGTACAATGTTCACTGAGAGAGACGGGGAAGAGAGAGAGAGAGAGAGAAAGCTCGATAATAAAAAA